GTAACGCTCAGGTAAAATCGGTTGAAGTAGAATAATTAAATGGTTTTTGCATATGGATTAAAATATTTCAAAAACAAAAAATCGGACATTCATATTGTTACCTACTGAAATGTTCATCATTTGATCCTCTTTGTAATGAGCTACATATCAAAATTGTATCTTAACGCCGTATTAGATAGGGGAAAAGGGGAAAAATAATGACGAAAACCAAATTAGTTTTATGGAAGATATGGATTAAAATATCTCAGGAACTTAAAATCAAATCTGCATACTGTAAGTTAAAAAATTGTTAAGCATTTCATCATCTCTAGACGAAAAGTAAAAAATAGTGTAGGAAGCCAAATAATAACGAGTTTTAATTAAAGACAGGGATTAAAATTCCTCAGAAAATAAAAATAGAACCTGCATACTGTAAGCGAGGAAAATGTTCAGCATTTTATCCCCTTTACAATGAACTATTATTTATAATTTATATTTCATATTATTAATCTCGTATTGTTGATGTTTTCACTTCTATCATGTTATCTAAACCTCACAATTTATTATTTATTTTTTGTTACAGGAAAGGTATTTTTGAATGGAAAGTTATCAGGTACGATTTTTCTGCCGCCGTATTCTGCTTTAACGAATTTTAAGATTCTTTTTTATTTTCTATTGCTCTCTTTTGTTTCTTTCCAAAATTATAACTGTACAGAGCGTGCGATCAATATAGATATAGTAGTTTATATGGTGGTGTTTTTAGGTTTATATCGATAAACAGATATAAGTATCTATATCTATATAGATAGATATAGTGATGAAACAGGTATTGAAGCGGTAGGTATATGAGTGAGACCTAACGGAGCATAACGCCATCTGTCCCGGAGGAACATGTGGCCAGAACTGCTTCTCGTCCTCAGTCATAGTAGGTGTCCCACAAGGATCTAAATGAGACCATTATCATACAAATTCATACATATATATATATATATATATATGTGTGTGTTATATATATATCCCTATATATATCCCTTACATTAAGGGATGAGCAGCGTCTGAAGGTTTTTGAAAATAAAGTATTGCGTTACACACGTTGTAGTTCAGACGGTTACACAACGCCGAATTGCGTGAACTGTATCTGGGTAATATAATTGAGGTAATTTCATCGCGACGAATCAAATGGGCTTGTAAAGTTGTTGGGCTTGGTAACGAGAGAATTCCTAAAAGGTTGATATTTGCTGTTCCGAATGGTAAGCGTCCGAAGGGTAGACCGAAGCGAAGGTGGGAGGATTGCATTAAAGCCGATCTGAAGGAACTGGGTTTGGACGGCGAACGGTGGAGGGAGGTGTGTAATAAGCGATTGGTGGTGTCGGCATCGAACCTTCGGGTTCGCTAAGCCTTTTATTATTATTATATATATATATGTGTGTGTATGTATATATATGTGTGTGTAAACTACTATCACTTCATTAAAAAGTTAAATGCTAAATACCATTATTCATTGAATTGGAATATCGGTAAGTTATCGCCTTGAACTGACAAAATATTGAAGAGTTTGTAATTTATTCAGTTTCTGAAAGTTAAGCTATTCATTGTATATATATATATACATAGAATAGAATAGAATAGAATAGAAAAATCATCTTTATTCTGGGACTAGGTCCCTTTAGAATAACAGTATTGTTCATATATATTAACTACAAATCTGGTCAAAAGACTTATTAGAATGAATAATGACAAAATACATGTAATACATTAAGTATTAATTAAGCTCTTAGGATAAATTAACGAGGACAGTTGGCTAATAGGGGTTCAGTACTACAATATTGGAGCTAAAATAATTGCATAATAATCACTGAATGAAATTAGAAAGGGAAGTAAAATCTATTTTATAAGTAAAGCATTGTAGTGATGGAATATAAAAATTAAAAAAAATAATAATAACTGTTAATATATAGGGAAAGAAATTGTAAAAACTAAAACAAAAAAATATATAAAAAACAAATAATGATATACATATGTTCCCTAAGATATTTAAGTGATTATGCGTAAAGATTAGGAGAAGAGAAAATAAAATAAAATATATATATATATATATATATATATACGTATGTTCATGTTTTTTTAGTACTTAATTAAATAAATAACCAAGTTTGCCGATCTCAAGATTGAAAACAACCAATTCCAAGATTTTTCGTAAATAAAAAAGTTATAGGTTACGATGAGATGCAGTTATTCACGAAGTTTTAAACGAATGTATATATATATATATATATATATATATATATATATATATATATATATATATATATAACGTATGTGTATATCTATTTAATAGTCTTACATAACAACTTTTTTTCGAGAAATATGTTTATCGATATCGATAAAAAAATGAAAAATACAAAGTTTCTTTAACTCTATAATAAACTATTCTTAAGTAGATAAACATTGCGTAGCCCCAAAAAAGCTGAGGACGGAACAGTTACTGAACTATTTTAAAATTTTTACTTGATAATAGTTTTATATCAACTATTTTTTTTTTTTTTTTAAACTTGAGATATTACAATCTATCACATTCAAGGACAATAGTAATAGTGATATAAAGTAGCTCTTTCATACCATACAATAAATTAAAATAATAACTCAAACTATTAAAATTAGAGTTTTAACTTTATTAAAAGAATCTATATATACTTATAATTAAAAGGGGCTTTATATTCTTAGGGCAATAAGGGTACGATACTAAACGATGTAGGAATACACACATATATATAATTTTTTCCGGTCTTGAGGTTAAGTATTAATAAATGTACAAATATATTTTGGCAAAATTCAAAACTGTACTGTTTATACAGTGGTCAGCAAAATAATTCATATATGGGCTTATTGGAAATAAAAAAATCAAGAAAGAAATTCTTTCCCACAAATAGTTTTTAATAGATCCAAAATCTGGAAATAGATATGTAAAAATATTATAGAAACTGTCAATGGTAAAAAACAATCCTGATCTACTATGAACATATGAAACAGTCTAAAATTACATAACAATAAATTGTTTTTATTTCAACGCCTAATTGTAACCAACCAATTACCACTACTGTTCTAAATTTTCTCAAAAATGTCTACCTAAATATCAAGAAATATAGTTTTAATAAAAATTTAATTATAACTTCAGAATTTCAATGCGACAAAAGTTTTCATACATAGTTTTATTATATAATTATGTAATTAAGTCAATATTTTCAGATTTATATTTTGAATGCAGTTCTATATTTTTGAGTACTATCCAACTGATTTGAGTTATTAATTGGTTTGTCTTCGTTAAATGGGTACCTTTTTCTCCCATTCTTATAGCATTTAATTTTAAATTATTTAACTGACTTTTTATATATTATTTTTACATAATTTAATCCAGACTCTGGAGAGCTCACGTGGATAGTTATATAGTACCAATATCCGTGTGCTCAGAGCTTCGTACTAAGGATCATAGAAGAATTTGAATGTTATTTTATACCAATTTTTTCCGCACTAGACAAAATATCCTTTGAAAACAATATAAAAAAAAATGAAAGCAATTAGGCAACCAGCAGCAACCAGAAACAATTCTAAGAATATCCAAACAATATGGATTCTGAGATTATTTAAGCAATGTGGATTTAAATTTAGAGTGGATGGGAGAAGATCTCTCATAAATTTAATGAATAAGGAAAAAGGAAAATTCTCGGAAGAATGAGGGAAGATACCCTTCCAATTTACTTCGGTGATGACTCAACAAAAGCACTAAATGAGTGGAATGGTAAAAAAACATAAAAAAATATTGTATTCAAAATATTAATTTAATGTAGTTTTTTTTGTACTGAAACCATCACTGCTACGTTCAGGGAACGCAAAAACTATATTTTCCATTCCAATTGTATTATCAAAACCTATATGCTTTTTTTGTGTTTTTTTTTTCGAAAATCAATGATTATTCTATTATTAATTAAAAAACATTAAAATTTGAATTAAATTTCAAATCATATTTTTGAACGAAAAAAAAAATGAGATAACGAGGTACTTCATGTAAGCCGATTATAACATCCCAGGCATATATAATGCTTAAATACGCAATTTCAGTTCTGTAGAACTATTCGTTTATTAATTAGACTGTTCACATACACACAAACACACTTAACATTTTGTGAGACTTGGTTATTCGGACTCAAAATTCTGTTTTCAGAGAAAAAATGTATGATTCGGGATGGAGGGGGAGAAGGGACAGTAATAAAAATTGTGCATTAAAACATTAAATTTTTAAGTACAATATAATTTCGAAATGTACGTTTCAGCACATTCTTTGAAAAAAAAGGCCGGTGTCGAAAATTAACTTATCATAACTTCATTTTTTTAAAAATATTTATATTCGTTTAAAGAAAATAATAGCAGCACCGGATTCATTGTTTTGTTTTTTTACATGAGAATCGATACTTATCTCAATATCCAAATTAATCGATTAGGGTTTACTTTGGGAATAAGCGACTGATTTGTATAATATAATTACGTATGAAAACTTTTGTTGCACTGGAATTTTTATTTTATACTTAAATCTGTAAGTATGTAAATGCCAACATGTTCCTACTGTGGGTATATTTTAACAGTAGTGCTTTACATACTAAGAGAGTGTACGGCTCACGACTCCTACAGATTCTCCACAGACCCAGAACAAATATTGAGACAGGACCCAGACACGACTTATTAAAAATTTCTAAATAAAAACTATCGACATTTATAATAAGATTTAAAAAAACCTGAAGAGACTTCAGTGTAAATGACTCCCAGTGGTCGAAATACTTAAACAAATCTGTATTTAAAATAATCTGTACTAATTGATAGGCAAATATGTTTGAACAAATTAATGGTTGGTATTGGAGTTATAATAATCATTAATAATTTATTTTTTATCAGTACATGAATGAAAACTTTTGTTGGCCACTGTATGTATATATAGTTATGTTTTTGGAATAATTTAGTGATCGACATACCTGTAGCTTTCATTTCCACTTCTCGATGAGAAAGACCTGGACACACGCTCTTCATCGGAGCTGGAGATATGGCTGCTGGAGGAACAAGAAGAGCTGATGGTGGACTGTCCTCCGTCCAGGCTGTCTGGTGAACCTGAGAAACGCCACCTCGAGGTCTCCAAGGAGTCGAAGCTGAAGGAGCTGGCTAAGGAAGGAGAATGGAAAGGTTCTGCGGAAGCTGTAGTTCTGAAAACTGTCTCGCACTGCTTCTCCAGGGTCTCGAACTGCAGGAGGCTAGAGGACCTGTGGAGGAGAAGAAATAGTCAGCATAAACAATAATATTTTTTTTCTTAGTTGCTAAATTATTTAATAAAAAATGGACATATCCAACGGAATCACAAGAGACCTCTACAATATTTATCTATCATGATCTACTGGAGGTTACCTGGATGACAGAGGAGGGAGGACTTCGTCTTCATCGTCTTCGTCGTCGTGGACCCCAGGATCTGTATTGTAGATCCTCCTCCGCCTTTTCTTCGGCACGGCGAGGTCTCGTTCGCTACCACTCCAGTCGTTCTGGGCGATCGGTCCGTTCCCTGTAACACAGAACATTTGGCATAAGCAGAGTATCCAAATTGAAGTTGAGGCACCAGGCAGTGTAGGTCTGGTGCATTGTCTTTTAATAATGTGTTTGATTTAAAAAAGATTTTTTGGTTATACAGAACAAGAAGAATAAGAAAAAGTCTTTTTATTCATCAAAATTACATAATATAAATTACAAATAAATATGAAATAATATTTTTGGATTTAAAACCGAAAATCAGACGTACTACACGGTCTGTTGACAGTCAGAGGAGTCTGCGTTTTATAACAAAATTATATTTCAATCTATTTATATAAAACTAATTAATAAGAAAATACGAACAATTACATTTACAATGTAAAAGTTATAAATATTTTAATTACAAAAAGAGTGGTACCAAAATTCTCCAACTTATTAATTGTTAAATTCTCTGGTGAGCATTATTCTATTGGAGAAAACAGACTTGCAGTAATTTACCAATGCTATCCAGTTGTTTCCATTTAATAAATATATTACTTGATCCCGAGATTTTTTTTTTATTTTATAATCTATTTATTGAATAATAATACAATCAGCCACTGCTGGAGGGCTATAAGTATTAGGGCTAAGAGTTATCATTCATACAATATATACAAATAATAGAGAAATATATAGAAATATAAAAAGTAAATAAATAATACTGATGAAGAAAGTAAATAAAAGAAAAAAAAGTAAACAAATAACATAAAATAGAAACTTCTAAACACAATCATACCTATATACAATATACACATTCTCCCAGGAATCCAGAGAAAAGCAGAACTTAAATAATTAGAAGAAGCTCATCGTACAACAAATACAAAATTTATGGTTCAAAGAGTTCCAGGCCATGTAGATTTGTATGGGAATGAATGAGCTGATACGATAGCAAACCGGTGTTCTGGAAGAGCGAAAAATACGAAACCACCTTTACAGGAAATTTGTAGATGGGTTAAAAAATACTATTAGTGGCAAGATAGATATGCTTGGGAATCAAGTTCGAAATGTAAAGATCATTTCTCTATCTAACTTAACGTCTCTCTACGCCTATGGGTCTCTAATACTTGTGTTAAGTTAAACAGAAAAGAAGCAGACTTACTTACAAGATTGTGAATTAACCATGGTTCTACAAATCGCGGCATGACAGTAATTAAAGTTGAAAATAATGATAAATATTCGAAATAAATATACCCTCATCCAAAACAATAGCGGTTTCCTCTAAGGGCTGACAGATCTAAATGGCAATACCATTGAGTCATTGTGCAAATTTATTAAAGGATCTAAAACAGTTTTTAAAAATAAATAAATAATAATAATTTACATCCGTACCTACATTTTTTTCTTATTTAACAATAAGGGCTGTGTATTACTTCAGCGGGAGTATTGGGCCAACCATAGGGAAAAAGAAACATAAATAATTATATCTTAACGCCTGAAAATCTTTTTGATAATAGTTTGAAAAACATAAGCTTTCACCTTTTTAAAGTTTTAAAGTATCAAAAATAAATATTGGAATTTCAGTTTTCTTATAAGTAAAATCTTTTTATCTTTATCTTTATTTTTTTGTTAATTTTTTGCCCATTTTAATATTTAAAGAAAATCAATCGATAGTTTATAAACATATAACGATATGAAAAATCGTGTATTTTAAAAGAAAATCAGGAAAATAAATAGTTTGTGAGACATAGAGAAACGAAACTATCGAGTAGTTAGGTTAGTCTCCTCTCAAATTATCGTGATTGAAGCTTCAATTTCAGAATTACAGGAAATCAATCATTACATCAATCATCAACCTTCCACGATCAATCAGAATGCCAATCATCACTTGGAATGTCATTCCGACTGATCATGTAGTGTTCGCTTAGTGTATAGGAGATAGGGTCGTTCTCCATTTCTACTCCTAGGTGAATTAATTATCATTTGCAATAGAACGAATTATTTCTCTAATAAATTTCAGTGATTTTATATACCCTAATATATTTTTTGAAAAATTGATTATTTTTTAAACTAGCAGTTTATTTCCAATGGTCGATATTGAGATATAGATAGTGAATGAGCTTCCCTTTCAGTATTACTAGTGTTCTTGAATGTGACAGAATGTAATATTACTCGATAAAGAAATGTGTGATATTGAGGACTCAGCATTTTCGCTTTTTATTTTGAAAAAAAAAATCTAATATAAGCTTCTTAATTTGCGTCACCATGTTGTGTATTTCAGCGTACAGCTTTGGAGGCAGGTCCAAAAAATGGTGAAGGTTCGAATGTAAATTACGAAAACTTGTGTTATTCTAAGTAAAGTGAAACTTGAATGCCTTTCCTGAGCCACTGCTGTCAAAGATATTTACGGCTTATTTAAATAATATAAGGTCTGTCGATTCTCCTGATGACAACAGTTGAACGTGAAATATATTGCCTAAAACGTAGGAAAAGTGGTTTGTTTTTTAAACATACAACTACCTAAACTAACTAAACATACCTAAATATTTGTGGATACAGTTTCTTCTAGTTCTTTCCGCAATTCTTCAGAGAATTCTCACTTCAGCAGTTGTTACTTACCAGTTTATCTGTAATTATCAAGCTTTCAGATCCACAAAGGAGCACAGGCAGTCACTAGTAGATCCAAGGTTTAATTTTAGGGGATACCAGACTGAAACGACTAGAAACCGCCCGACGTTTCCGACTACTCCAGCACTTACTAGACAAACGCTCTAAACTGCCAACTATTTACAAAAGACTATTTACAAGCCTTTTTGGACTTACGGGATTGAGCTTTGGGGCTCTACTAAACCATCAAATTCCTCTCGTATCCAATCCCTACAATCCAAAATCCTTAATGCTCTCTACTTTGTCACAAATAAAATCATCCATAATGACTTTAATGTACCATATGTTTCCGATTTAGCTCAATCCAGATACCTGTCCTTTCATAATAATCTTCTGAACCATCCGAACCCTCTCGTTTCCAACCTTGCTTCCTCTTCTATTCATGATAACCCTCCGAGGCGTCTAAAAAGAAGATGGCCTTCTAATATAGAAATATAATTGGAGTGCTACCAATGGGTAGTTTCTCCTCATGTTGTACATGTCATATTACTTGTTCATATTTACTTGTTGTATTTATTATTAATTACAGTTGTAAATTTCGTTAATAAAAAAAAAAAAAATAATAATTTAGGGGTGGAGGGTTTCAGCTCGAAAGCTTTTTTTTTCATACAAATGACGATAATTACTTTGGAAAAAAAGAAAGAAACTAACTGCCTATATGAAATGGTGTTTAAGTGATTCCTTAAGTCCTTTTAAATGTAATTACACGAACAAAAATACTTTAAGAGATAATGTTTTAATATTTTTTTTACATAAAACATGGTTATATTTTACCATTTTGGGGAGGGGAGGGGGGGAGGCTTCAGCCCGAAAGCCCCCTCCCCCCCCCCGTAGATCCGCCAGTACAGGCAGATATACTTAAAGATGTGTAGTTTTATGTTTCTAACTATCTCTCGCTTCTGAATAACAGGTCTGGTTTTAAACGGAGTTTTCCTCACTTGCCCTAAGTATGTAAGCTTTTACATTTAATTTCTTAATTACACATCATTATGGAAACCATTAATGTTAAAGGTAAAAAAAAGTTGACTACTCTTCTACTACTCTTCGTATTAATTGGGACTGACTTGGACTCAAAGGGACAGGGAAGCTCCAGTAGAGCCCTTTGATCGGGAGCAAGCCAGTGGAATTCCAGTAGCTGAGGCCAGAGGCAACTTCAAGAAGGCCTGGGGCCGACCCCTTTAATTTTAGCATCTCGACAAGTTTTCGAGGAACTACTCCTCTAAAGGTCATTCCGAAAATTGTTAATTAAAGAAATCTCATTATGTAGTTGAAATATATCTTCATTTTTAATTTGAAAATCCCTTCCAACTTTAATTAAACTTAATTTAATTAAAAATAAGCTTACCTACTTGATTAGGGAAAAATACGAATTATAAATAAATAAAATAATTTATTTTTATAAGAAGTCACATGGTCCTATTTGACGGCAGAAAAATATTTGATGTTCAGAAAAATGTGTATGATACGAAAATACCGGCCATTCGGTGGAACAACAACGCAAAGATATAATTTTGGAAAATACTTTATCACAGAAAGAAATATTTATTCGAATCGATGAGGGGTTGGTATGTCAGAGTGAGCTAATGCTTATGCAAAACACGCCTGGCAACCTCATAAATAGAAGTTATCATAATAAAATAATAACAGGTTCGATTCCCAGTGCCAGGAGGGCTTTTAATTCTGGTATTAATCCCCCGCCCTCTCCTTCAGTCCAGAAAAAAAAACTATATAGCCTAGAAGGTGACTTAGATTTTCAGTTACGGCATTGTTCCACTGGATGAGCAATACGTACTTTTATAAAATAAAAAAAATGTCCTTATGCTTGTTGACTTCGTATTTTTAAGTCACGATTCTTCTTCCTATGAGACAGTTATAGGACACAGTAGTGATCGTTTGGTCATCTCTTCTTCGAGATATTTAAGGAGCCGTGGTTTACTAACCTGACGCGATCACATTTCACTACCTCTTCATCAGGAACTTTCATTCTTCTATTCAGTTATATATATATATTTTTTTTTATGGGATCGAAGGGTAAGCGACAAAGAAGTCGCTTACCCTTCAATGAACCTCAGGGTGAGGACGTCGTCTCCATAAGGGAATCGAACCTGCGCCGTAGTGGTTTAAGTTAGTGTTGCCCAAATGCGAGACCGAGACGAGTCTTGGATATGGTCGTGGTCTTGGCCAAGAGTCTCACAACAGTCTTGGAGTTATTTATTAGCTTATAGCAATAGAGATATTACTGTCATTTTTTAGGTAGAAGAAACCTAACTAAGCCGGAATGAAAAATTAGAGGAGTTAAATGCAAAACTGTATTGGCCATATCAATTATTTACATATAGTAACTAAGATTGTCAAGTATTAGTAACTATTTTGCCTTCATTTTTATTTTTA